ATGGCAAAACCAGTGACTTTGAAGCAAATAAAAGAACTGAGGGAAACTGTTGGGCACTGCATAGTTCACATCAGCAGTGTCTTCATTCAGTGAGACTGTGTGCTGTGGGTAGACCTTTGCTGGCACCAGAGAAGAGTTGAACATCTTGTCTCCCATATCATCTGATCCTGCTATTCTTCCCCACTGGGAAGAATGCCGTTGAGCTTCATAAGACATAAGTTTGGTACCAGTGATGGGTTCTTTACCACCAGCAGTGAAAAATTACCCTGGAAACAGGATTGAGAGAACTGGATAACTATTTGAGAGTTCTCATGAGTATCTAAAGAGGTATGTACTGAAGTATTTGGCTTTGGTCAAAGAGAGGTCTGACATTTGTCCTCTATGTTAAGAGGTAATTTCTTCCTGTCTCTATTTGGGGACCTTGAATCATGTGATTAGTCTGACAAAAATGATTTATAGAGAGAGCCTAATTGTACCTAGTTTAAGGTGAGTGATTTCCACATCAGAAATAACAACCTTATAATTGGGGTTAGGGGTAAAACCTCTCAGTCACATGATGTCAGTTGATCTGAAGACTGAGATTAATTGCATGGCTAATGAACCACCCCTATATGGTGGAGCACACATAAAAATGTCCTAACACTGGAAGCTCAGATCAACTTTTCTTCCTGGAATATGTTACTCTATACACAGGTGCTGGGAGAGTGACATGTCCTTAGAACAAGGGAGAACAGCAGGAAGTCCCATCCTCAGTTTCAGGATCTACTTTAGTAGACTGCTGTCTACACTCTTCCAATGTCTAACAATATCTAAGAGTCCAAAAGCTTGCAGTACAATCTGTGAGTCCTTCCAGAAAAGTTCTGAATTTGAGGGTAGCTTTGGAATCCCCAGCCCAAACTTCCTCCAAGTGTCATATTTATGGAAAGTTTTGCATGGGGGAATTTTGTACTTGATCTTCATGATATACGACAGAGGCAAGGGAATGTGCAATGTCAGGAACTAGAGATGCAGTAGGTGCTGCAAAGCTAGAGACAGGATCGACAGCCTGATAAGCAGCCTTGTTCCAGGTGAAATGGTCTACCCAAGGCATCAAGTGTATAGGTTTCCTCAGTGTTTCCGTCTGTGAGTGCTCCTACCAGTAAAGGCCTACATGAGTCCTGCATGTTGTCTAGTTTTCCAGGACTGAAAGAAAAAACAGAAGGATTACTTTAGCTTTTACAGTAGATGGGAAGGAGGGAGAAAAAAGGAAAGAATGTGTGTTGAAGAGGTATGTGTAACCGCAGGAACTTACAATGGAGAAATTGATATTGCAATAAAGAAATCCTCTTGAAGGAAAATTAATACCAAATATAATGGAATCATGGCCACCATCTTGGCTACACATTATTAAAACACTAAGTTATATGCAACAATAGAAAATAAGAGCCACATTTCTTTCTAGGTCAGGATCCTTGAAACTGATGCAGCTCAAGAGGAAAAGCAAAGAAGTAGGAGGACTATTTTGCTGCTACTGGAATCTTAAAAGAAAAACGTTCCTCAAGATTTATTTCATTTACTTTACATACACAAAATGTTTCAGTGGTTTGCATGGAAAGCGCGGTTCATCCTGCTATCTTTGCTAGAGTAGGAAAAAAAAAGATGAATCTATATAAATCAGGATTTGCATAAGGAGACACTCATCCTGACTACTTTACTTCATTCACTTTGAAGAAACTTGTCTTTGCTCTCAGAGTTGTCAAGCCATTTTTTGCTGTCCTTGCTGTCAGTAAACTCTGTAACATTCACAGCACATTGCACAATGTCCTTATACCTCTTGGGTCTTCTGTTTCTGAAGAAAATGTATTGTGACAGTTAAGGAAAGGCAAGGAAAACGCAGCCTCGCCTAACCTGTGACAAAGAGCAAAGATATCCCTGTTTTCAAAGCTGCTCCACCAGGGTGGGGGGAAACCTGTCAAGTCCCTGGATATGACAAATGTCCCAAGAGGAGAAACTGATGATCTTCCTGGCCCATCCACTAGACCCCTCCTGACAAGCAGATTCTACCAAAGCCACATGTATGGTTATTACACAGGCGATGACAGAACTTTTGGGCAGATTGCCTCATGAACTCTTTTGTTCACTCACTTAGAAAATATTTATTAAGAACACAAGTATCAGTGCCTGTGCAGAGATCTAGGACTCAAAGGTAAAACAAACCATGGAGAAAAGAACTCCGTCAGGTAGCTTTCAGTCTAGAGTTTGATGGAGCCTGGAATTCAGGTTTGCATGCAAAATTCTGGTTCTCTTTGTTTCAGCAGCATTTCACTGGGGTTCTGTCTCCTTGTCTATTATATTCTGTTAATAACATGATCTGCGTCTGAAGCCTTCTGTGAGAGTTAGTGAGTTAGCAATCTCAAATCATGTGTGCAAGGTTGAGCATGCTTTGCTTAAAAACATTTGAGGAATTGTAACCATTAGAGTTTTAAAATCAGGGTAGATGCTTCAGCTTTCAATTGCTTACGAGTGAAGGAATAGAATAATTCAATCTCACAGACATCAAAGTTTACAGGAAAATTCCAAGCCCAGTCCATGTCTATGTCTGCTTCTATAACACAATATCTGTTGCTTGTCAAGAGCACCCATTACTTACTCATGATCCAAGATCAAGGCAACAATGGGTTCTATGCCCCTGTTTTCAAAATGATAAAATTGTCACCGTGTCCCCTTAGGAGGGACAACTTGTGTCCTTGAGTGATAGAAGGGATGGGAGGGGTAGAAGGGGGGTAACTGCTTCTGTCAAATTGTCAGCATGTCCCTAATCTACTTTCATGGTACCTCTTAATACTGTTTACATTGGAGATTAAGTTCTGGGGCAAACTTCCAGGAGAATCAAAACACATCCATCTCTGTCACAAGCAGAGGGCTTCAGAGTAAAGTGCAACAACCAGAGTGAGTGGGTATAAGGGTGTGAATAAATGCTCAGAGCTAATATGTCCAGACACCTGAATTACAAAAGTTCTTTTCTTGAGCAGTGGTTCTTAACCTGTGGGTCTCAGTCCCCACAGAAGCCACATATCAGGTGCTCTGCATACCAGATATTTACATTATGATTCATAATAGTAACAAAAGTATAGTTATGAGGTAGCAACAAAATATTTTTATGGTTGGGGTCACCACAACATGAGGAGCCCTAGAGCATTGGGAAGGTTTGGTAATCACTGCTCTAGAGTCCTGAAATCCTTTATACTGAATCTGATCTCATGCTTTTGTTATCTTAGAAACTCACATTTCTACCTTAAAGACGCCCCTACCAGTTTCTTCTGAGAAACTGGATCCTCTTAGCTTCTATATACCCCTGCTGTCAAAACTCCCAAGTTCAAGCAGAGGTAAATTTGGCATAGTCTTGCTGCTCTTGACACTTCATTTCCATGAGTAATCTGACTTCAGTGCTCAGTGGCACAGCCAGAGATGTTGCCAATGTCTTCAGGTGGAAATGGGGAAGGTGTACCTCTCAGAGATGGAGTCTTCTGTCTAGTGACAAGAGATAAACATGTAGATTTGAATCATATGTTTAATGCACTACTTTGTTCTGATAAAAACAACAACAACAAAAACACCCCCCCCCATGGAACTAAGATTTAGACATTTGTAGAGACGATGACAGCTAAATTTATTTTGAGCACCATTGAGCATCTCCTTGGAAGTCCAAAGTACTTCTCCCAACAAAGGGGTATGGTGCCTAAAATCCCACCACTCTGGTTCAGTTCTTCAGGCTTGGCCAGTGAGGTGCATTAGCTCTTATCTACTCTCTCAAGATTATTGTTGAAAACTACTCTATAAAGTTCAGTCAAGGCCAAACTGGTGATCATCACCTGCCTGCCCCTCCTTCATGCCACACCTTTTGACTTTCTTGTCCATGCCACATCTATCCTCTCATCTACTCCTGGCCAAGCCTGATAATACCCAACACCAAATGCTGAACAGGCACCTCTTGAAATCTTAAATCTCTTTGCACTTAGCAATGCTCAATAAATCTTTTAAAATGTAAACATAATACACAAATCAAGAACCACACACCATATTGGTTTATTGTAATTAGAATGTTTTTTTTAAACCTTTCACAAATTGCATTTTTAAAGCAAATGGAGAGTTATATTTACATTTGCAATTATGGCATACATAAATTTGTTTACTAAGTTGTAACACATTAAATGTTACGACTGAACATTTGAAGTTGAAATATTAGTCTTACCCAACTTTTCTTAGAGCCTTTGGACACTTGGTGAAGTGGGGTCAGGGGAGAAACCAGGAATGCGTTCAGGGCTGTAGAAAGGACACCTCTATGCGTAACAATTAAATGGGTGGTACGTAGGGGAAGTGGGACGGGATAATGGGTAGTGTGTTTAGAAAATATAATTGTAGGAAGCGAGTGAATATAGAGCTATGATTTAAAAGGTTGTAATTTAACGGTATTAACTAATAGATAATGAGCCCGCTTTTTAAAAAAGTGTCTTAAGTTCTTAAACAATAATTTAAAACAAAACAAAACAAAACAAAACAAGTCTTTCAATTCAGATATTTTACTTAAGCTTCACAAAGTTTTGTTTGTTTGTTTAAGGTTATTATTTGTCTTACAGACACGGAGATAGATGCTAAAGATGTGTAAGGTCACATTTTTAGTTAATATAGTGGGGGCTTTTAACAAGCCAAATAAGATTGAGAATAGGTAGAAACCAGGCAGAAAACACCATAGGGGACAGCCTCAGTTAGGCAGTAAGAGCTCCCTGCAATTCTTTGATGTGGGCTGGCGACTGAGTTAGTGAAAGAAAAGCAGCCCAAGGAAAGCCACAGCTGGTGGACAGGAAACAGGTTTCTGTCAGGATCAGTGGAGCTAGGCCACTCCTTTCTTTCAGGCTTCTCTTTGGAGAGCCGGAAACTCAGCGCCTCCTGACCTCCTGCGGCTGCCATAGAATCCCTGTTGCCATGACTACCGGATTGCGTCCTAAACGCAGAGGCACAGCTGCGAGGGGCTGAAGGGAATCCTGTTGGTCGCAGGGTTTCCTTGACTAGCGATCCAGAGAAGCATCATGGGCCGAAGTAAGCGATCCCCACCCTGGAAAGGTCGGCACCCGCCCCCCTCACTGCCATCCAGATGGCAGAGGCAGCCCTGAGGTGCCTAAGCGGCGCCAGTCCCTCTCAAGTCCCCTCAGGTCCTCTGGGGTCTACTAAGGATCTCTGAAGTTCCATCGTGACCTCTCATTATCTTGTAGATCCCCAAATTCTTTCAGGAGTTCATGGGTCCCTTCAAGTCCCTTAGGTCTCCTCAGGTCTCTTCAGGGCCTGCCATTTTCTACACTTACAGCCCTCAGCTAGCCAGTCTGTGAAGTGGGCTCCATGGAGAAAGGGAGTTCAGGAAGACAGGTCAGCCTTAGCACATGGCTGGTTAGACTGTGAAGTCCTGGGTCACCTCTGTGTGCCAGCACTTCCAAACAAAATACTGCTACCTAATGGAAGAGGGCACCAACTCCAGAGCCATGGTTTGACACACACCCTTCCCTATGGTCACCCTAAGAGCTCTGTGGCTTTGCTCTGGGGACCTCACCTTTGGGCCTCAGCTTCCTCACTTCAACAGCAAAGTTTTATAGTATACACTCAGTGAATGTAAAAGTATTTATCTGAAACTATTTTAAGTGTCCTCAGTGTGATGGGATGAGCAGATATTTTTAGATTAGATTGTATCATTTCCTGTTACCAAGAAAATTTTGATGTCAACAAATGGCATTTGCATGCAGTTCCATCTAACATGCCAGTAATCATTGTTAAAGTGTCATAACACATCTGTGTATATGGTGTGTATGTATATGTGTGTGTGCACATGTTTGTAGATGCTCATTTGTGTACACGTGGAGTCTGGAGTTTGGCATCTAGTGTTTTCCACTGTATTTTTAAAAGTCAGTATCTTTCACTGGAAATAGAGCTCACCCATTTAGTAAAACTGGCTGATCATTTAGTAAAAAATGGCTGATCACCATCTAGTAAAACTGAGCTGGAGGGATCTGCCTGTGTCTAGCTCCACAGTGCTAGGATTACAGATACAATACAACCATGTGGCTGGATTCATGCCCTCATGATTTACCTCCATAATTAATGATTTTAGTCAAGAGACTGTGGTTGGGGCTGGAATATAGTTCAGTAGTAGAGTATTTGGAAGTCTCATGGAAAAAGACAAGAAGGAAAGACAATGGGAGGGAGAAAAAAAAGGGAAGGAGGGAGAAAAAAGGGAAGAAGGGAAGAAGGGGAAATGGATGGAGAGACAAAATGAATGAATGTGAGTGAGAGTAAGATGATAGGGGTTTCTTTTTACCCTAGAAATCTGCAAGAGTTATTTACAAATATTCAGCTGAGAAGCCATAGCTTGTTGTTAGGTACCTGTTGGTCATGCAGGGCTGGTGGAAGAGAGAAGCCTGAACTGAAATCTAGACAGTGGGATAAATGAGCAGTGCCTCTTCCACACGTGTTTACATGTGCTGTGCCAGGTTTAGATGTTTTACATGCATTTTTGCTATCTCAATAATTTTCGAAGTCAGACCAACTTATCTAATTTTAGGCAGAGCTGATAACCAACCACCTTGGCAAATATCTGGTCTCAGGAACCAAGGCAGAGTGGAGAAATTTGAGAGTCCTTTTTATACGTACTCTTCCCCCTTAGAGCTGGTTAGTTTTTGTCAACTTAATGCAAGCTGGAGTCATCTGAGAAGAGCCATCTCAATCAGGGTATTGCCCTTATCAGATTGGTTTGTGGGGGTATTTTCTTGGTTAATGTTTGATATGGGAAGGTCTAGGCCATGGTGGAAGATGCCACCTGTAGTCAGGGAGTTCTGGGTTGTGCAAGGAAGCAAATTGAGTAGGCCATCGAGAGCAAGCCAGTAAGCAGCATTCCTCCATGGCTTCTGTTTCAGTTCCTACCTCCAGATTCCTGCATCAGGCTGACCTTGTGTCCCAACTTCCCTCAGTGACAGATCATGATCTTGGAGTTGTAAGATGGAATAAACCTTTTCCTCTTTAGGTTAGTTTTGGTCATGGTGTTTAATCATAGCAATGAAAAGCAAACTTGGACACCTATGCTCCCCCTTGAATAGCTTTCTGCTTGCTAACATCTCTTCAGTTTTCTAGAAGAGTTTGTGGAAACAGCCTTTTTTTCCTTAAATGATCGGTAGGATTTATTTGTGGAAACATCTGTGCTTAAATTCTCTTTGCTAGAAGGCTTGTTACTGCATATCTAGCTACTTGAGGTGACTGACAGCTCATTAATCTACCCTTGTCTTCTTGAGTGAGCTTGGTAGTTTTCAACTTATCAAACAATTTGCCCATTTAACATACATTCTTGAATTTATTCTCATAATGTTATTTATAATATTTTCTGTAATATTTGTGCAGTAGATATATTATTTCTTATTACAAAAATTGATGTTCTATGCCATATCTTTTCCTGTTAAGAATAAAGTTTACTAATTTCATTTTTTATTAACTCACCAACTTTGAGTTACACTGTTTTTCTCCTGATTTCTAGGCTAGTTGATTTCTATTAGAATCTTTGTTACTTACTTTGTTCTGTTTGAGTTTGGTTTGTCCTTTTCTACGTTTCTTAAAGTGGAAGCTGATGTTTCTGCTCTGTATCTTTCTCACCATGTGCATTCAATGCTATAAATTTCTCTTCCAGCAATGTCTTAGCAGTGTCTCTAATGAAGCCATTCTGCTCAAACTACAGATCTGTCTCTTTTTGTTTCTATATGTGTGATGTTTTAAAAAATATTTCCAATATTTTTGTCTGGAGTTTAGTTGGTGTAGTCTGGCATTGTGAATCCTAACCTAAGACTCCATCATGCCTGGAATATAGTTTGTTGCTCTTATGATTTAGCCTGGTCCTGGTACTCAGCTTTCCCTGTACAATCATTTCAAGATGAAAACCTCTATATACTTCCAATTCCTTCTTCTGGTCTCCATACTTAGCCTTTAATAGTCCATTGGGGTCTCTTGTTCTTTTCTTGGCAGTTGTGTTGAGTCAGACTCCCTAATGCAACTGATTTTTAAATGACATGCCCTATAGGTCACACTCACTATTCTTTCCACTGATATTTCATCACTCCTCAACACCAGAGAAAGTTTTATAAATGCACAGCAACTGGGTCCAACACTGCCTGTTTCCCACTGACTTCCCAGTAGTGAGGTTCATGTTGCTATGCTGACAGCAGATTTGAATTCAAATCCACCTCCTACCTAGCATATGCTTTCATGGTCCACTTAGGTATCAGTGATTCCAGGAGGATTGCCAAGAGTTTGAGGCTAGCCTATACTAAGTAATTTTAGGCAGCCTAGGCTGAAATGTGAGACCCTGAGTCAGGCAAGCAAACAAATCCTAAAAGAACAAGTACTAACTTGTTTTGTCTTTGGAATTTTGTCAAATATTACTGAGTATGTTGAAATTCTTTGTAAAGGAAACATATTGGGACATGCTCTCTTAACTCAGAAACTTTATTGTTTGGCACACAGTACTCCTACTAGGTCCTGTGCTGTGCTGTGTATGTGTGTGTGTGTGTGTGTGTGTTGTGGTATGTTTGTGTGTATGTGCGTGGCGTGTTTGTGTAAATGTGTGTGGGCATCTGTGTTTGTGGTTTTGCAGGGTTTATGAGTGTGTATGTAGGGTGTGAGTGTGTAGGTGTGTGTATGTGTGTGTGAGTATATGGTGTGTGTGTGATGTGTTTGTATGTGTGTGATCTGTTCATGTGTACATGTTTCTATGTGTGTTACATGTATGTGTATGCCATAGCATATGCATGGAGGTCAGAGATCAGCCTCAAAGTTTGTTCCTCATCTTCCACTTTATTAAAAACAGGGCATCTTCAGGCTAGCTGACCTGTGAGTTTCCAGGATTCCTTTTGTCTACATGGCCCCTCTTGCTATAGGAACATTGATTGCAGATATGTGCTTTCTCATTTGAGTTCTGGGGATTATTTATTTTAATTTTTAAGACTTATTTATTTTATTTTGTGCATATGAGTTCTTTGCCTGCATGCATATGTGTATGCTACATGTGTAAATTACCCAAGGAGGCCAGAATAGGGTGCTAGATCTCCTGGACCTGGAATTACAGATGGGTGTGAGCCACCGTCTGGGTTCTGCGAACTGAACCCAGGTCCTCTACAAGAGCAGCCGGTGCTCTTAAAAGTTGACCCATCTCTCTAGCTCCCTAGTTAGGACATTTTATTGAGTTCAAACTTTTTCCTAGGACAAATTCTTGCTTCAGCCACAAAACTGACCAACCCAATGAGTCCTGATACAGAACAAGGCAAAACTAGCAGTTTTGTGTGTCTGCAACTGATCTATTTTGGCATTTAAAATACCCAATCAAATTAGTCTATTTGCATCTTCTACATGCAGACATCCAGTTACATCAGCACCATTTGCTTAAGATGTTTTCTTTTTTCCATTGTATAGTTTTGGCTTTTTGTTGAAAATCAGGTGCTCATAAGAGTATGGGTTTATTTCTGAATCCTCAGTTCGATTCCATTGATCAACCTGTCGGTCTAGTAGTATGCAGCTTTTATTACTATTGCTCTGCAGTATAGCTTGAAATTAGGGATGTTGATACTGCCAGAAGTTCTTTTATTGTTCAGAATTGTTTTGGCTATCCTTGGTTTTTTATTTTTCCATATGAAGTTAATGGTTGTTTTTTCCAGGTATTTAAAGAATTGTGTTGGAATTTTGATGGTAATTGCATTGAATTTGTAGATGGTTTTTAGTAAGATGGACATTTTTAAATTTTTTTAATTTTTAAAAATTTATTACAGTTTATTCACATTGTATGCCACGATAGCTGCTTCCCTCATCCCCTCCCAATCCTGCCCTCCCTCCCTCTTCTCCTCCCATGCCCCTCCCCCAGCCCACTGATAGGGGAGGTCTGCCTCCCCTTCCAAGATGGCCATTTTTACTATATTAATCCTAGCACTTCATGAGCATGGGAGCGCTTTCTGTCTTCTACAATCTCCAATTTCTTTCTTCAAACACTTAAAGTTCTTGTCATGAAGATTTTTTACTTG